GAGAAGGACGAAGCCCTCAAAGCCTTCCTTTCTTCGTAAGCTCGGCCGGATTGCATAACGATGGGGGGGTAAAGAGGACGAGATTGGAACTGGCTGGGGCTTTTGCGGATTTATGATAGTTGGGTGTGTGCTTGCACGAACTCGGTTGTAGTATTCACAAATGTTGTAAGAAAAGCAAACCTGAACTTAAGCTTCTGTGTGCTACTGTCGAAGGGGGTTGCACGTCGGAGAACCAAAAGGCGAGTTGATGTTCGTAAACGAGTCCCCTCGGACGTGACGTCACCTCCATCAAGTGAAAACGGTTTGCGCCTTTTTCATTGGCATCCTTGGCCAAAATGGTGCCAATTAATTGTTGCTGAAGCCACAACCGGGGAATGGAATGAAATCGGTCCGAAGGTTCCCATCGAAATGAAGCGCCGGCCGGTCTTTAATTGTGCTTGAACAATGACAATGGTGACCTTTTCCACTTTCCTCACAAATAAATCCGAATTGCCCCATGTACAGTCAAAGTCGATCGTGAACCGATTGATGCGTTTATTCCTGCATCTCAGACGTCGCGTCGGACTAGAGCAAGAGGTGCGAAAGTGGTGCTATCGGCCGTGAGTTTCATTTGTTGATCCGGAGCAAGTACGTGATCTTCCTTTCGTTCGGGCCGGAGAGGAGATCACGGGTCGCGACGCACCAGCCACTTTTTGTTCCATGAGGAAGTCAAGAAGAAGGTTAAATATATTCTAGCGCGGGGAATGCAAGTGCAGTATGTAAAACTCTTTGACACCACAATTTCCCGTTAAAGAGAGGCTGGTCACCTGCCTATGACACAACTGCGGATAAGAATGGTACATTCAAGTCGTCATGATGAGGGTTGTATATGAGTAATGGTAACGCACCAACTAGTTACTTGTGCACGATGGCTCCCCCCGGCCCCCCCGGCAAAGCAATTGTAGATCTAACAAGGAATATCCGAATGCGCCCAGGCTGTTGCCCCCACTGGCAGAACGCCGCACTATTCACATGGAGCACGTTGCCATTGATATGCGGGAGGATTGTAGGGGAGAAATACGACGCCACAATTGACTCGGGGGCTAATGATGCATTGTTCTTGTACTCCATTAGGTCGCGCAATCAAGGTGGCTTTGAGCGTGATCCCCCCGGCACGCGATGCCGCTGCATCGCAACTGCGGAGTCGTGGAAATCTAAGTCCCACCTGGAGATTCGGCTGTACGACAGTGGAGACTGTCTCGTCTCCAAGCACTATTGCGATCTCAAACTTGAAATTTTCTCTTTGACAGGACTGTGAAGATTATGTAATCATCGGAGCCGAACCAATCGGATGGCTTTGGTCTGACAGGTCATCTATTCACACGATAGATAGGTATGTTATCGCCGATATATATATTGGGACTGTACAGGCTGAGTAATCCAGGGAGGGCGCAAGGGCACAACCTGCCAATAATGTACTACGGATCTCAAATGGCTGTGTAGTAGTACAACACATTCGCCTTACCCCAAGTATGACCCCATGAGCGTGACTACAAGGTATAAGAGGGGCCACTCAATGTACACCTTCCCTCAGGGCCCTTCCCTTAGTTTAATCCCTTTTTCCCCTTTAACAATTCGACCATGGCCAACGGCAAGAAGATCATTGCAGTCCTTGGAAGCACTGGAGTGCAAGGAGGCAGTGTAGTTCGTTCTCTCCTCGCAGACGGAACCTTTGCTGTCCGAGCCCTCACCCGAAACGTAGACGGAGAGGCAGCCAAGAAGCTCAAAGCGCTGGAGCCGAGGTCGTCTCTGCAGATCTAGAGGATACCGAGTCGCTTAAAAAGGCTTTCAAGGGCGCGTACGGCGTGTTTGGTGTTACTGGTGAGGGGACACGATATTCGTCATCGATCGACCGATCGACCGATATCCTCACTGACCGATCAATCAATCACATATTAGATTGTGAGCGACTGTAACACGAGCGGTACGGAATGTTTTTACTGATGGTCGATGATTATCAAGTTTGGACTCTGTATCTTGGTGTCGAAAAATTTAATCAGGTCAAATCTCGCGATCATGAGACTCGGCATGGGAAGAATATCGTTGATGCTGCTGAAGCAGAGGGAATCAAGCATCTTGTCTGGAGGTATGAAGGTAGTCTGCATGTGTATCATCGGTATCTAATTGGATGGTGCTTTAGCACGCTGGACGATACCGATAAAGACAATCTACACGTATATCATTTCGTGGTACGCACGGTCATAGTGTCCGCTTTTTCGACCAGTCAATGATGTTATGACATGAACAGAGCAAGGCCGCTGGTACGGGTTCATCTATCTTCTTCACATGAACACCGTCCGACGTGACCCGTAGTGGACAAATACATCGTGGAGAAGAAGATTCCCGCGACATTCCTGTTTACGAGCGTCTACTTCAGTAACCTAATCAAGATCCCTGGGGTGCGTGTTTTTTTGGACGCTCGCACTAAATTTTACCCATTTTTGACTCCAAACTTTTCTCCCAGTGGTTGAAAAAGGAAGGGGATACTATCAAACTTGACATCTCAATTCCTTCTAACGTACCTATCCCTTGGTATGATGCGCATGGAACTGGAGATTGGGTAATCGCATCGCTGTCATCAGCACAATATTATTTTATACGAATAATCACTTTTCACAGGTCTTGCCCATTTTCAAAAACCCAGATGAATGGATCGGTATGTGGCACGGACCAGGATTTATGGATCGGAAATGATCTTGACCCCCCTTCCCCCCCTTCTTTCCCTCCCTTGGGACAAACAAATTTACAGGTAAAAGGGCCGAAGCTTATGGAAGTACGAACACATCAGAGGAAGTCGCAGAGGCTCTCAGAAAGAAGACGGGGAAAAATGTCGTTTTAAACAAAATCACTCACGAACAGTTCCACCTTGATGAGTATCGTAAAGCAGTTGGCCCTGAGCTCTGGTTGAAGTAAGTGAAAAGGATTTTTTTTTTGTGTAAAAACTTTATACGATCTGAAAATTTTTTTTTACTAATAAATACCGACTTACAGCAACAAGTACATTGTCGATAAAGCGTAAGGAGTCATTTGAATTTTTTTTTTGCCCCTTCTCTGAACCTGCCGTGCCACTTCAGATTGATTCGAAATGCGGAACTCTCGAAGCGGATCAACCCAAATGCTCTAAACCTAGAGCAATTCGTCGAAAAGGACGAGAGCCTGAAAGCCTTCTTTGCCTCGTAAGCTCGCAATAGGCCTGGGGAGGTTGGTTTGGTATTCTGTTGGTTAAGAGAAAGTGTGGTACTCTGGGGTGGGGCTGCACTTGAACTCGGCTACGTAGTATGACTGCATTGTAAACAAACATTTGAACGTTGGGACAAACAAAGTTAAACGTTAAACATAAGGGCTTCTGCGTGCAATGAAAACAACTTGAGAGGAGAGTCGCAACATTCCTTTCGGCCATCGCACCCTCCCGAGGAGTCGGAGAGAGTTCCAAAAACGGAATGCAGATCAGCAAGGCCACCGCAGTAAGTAAGGGGCACGCCGTTGGTTGGTGAGAGATAAAAAAAATTAAAAAAAAAATCAAATTGGAGCTTGTTCAATTGCAGCACCTGCCATCGGGAAATATATGGAAGACAACTTGGTTGCCTCGACAGCAGCTGTCAATGGAACCCTGTTTGTGGTTGGAATGTCATATCACGCGTGGTCACTCTCAACGGAAACACAATATTCCAGCAAGGGTTCGCTTAGGACAAGAACAAAGTAACCAACGAAGTTTCACGCCAGGGCATCTTGAGCAATTTTCGATATATCATTTTTTTCTGGCCCTCCCGATGCTTGAACGACAGTCCGACGCGCCTTCTCGAGTTTGGAGCTACTTTATCGTCCACCGCTGAGGGCGAACTAACTCATCAAGGAGAACGGTTTTGTCGCATCCTTGACCGATTGTTCCTGCTGGCAGGGCATCAGTTTCCGGCCACGCCTTGATGAAGTGGGTTCGAAGGTTCCGCACTGAACTGAAGTTGAAGTTGGTGACGGCTTGAAGAATGCCAGCCTTCCCCAAAAATTTGAACCTGATGGCTAAGTCATGGCGAATGCAGCAAAATGTCTTTTACTCGTACGGGACAGCCTGAGAGGAGTCTGAGTTGCACCGAAGCCTTTGACCACAGAGCTCATGGGCGTGCCAACAACTTGGATCTATCGATACCCTTGGACGAAGGAGTCTCTTGATCGCTTCTCGATATCGCATAAGTGGATTAGTACAGGTTTACGATATCGCAAGTCCGAACTCCGATGAGAATGCACATCGTGATGGAAGAATATTCGCAACAGCGATCTGGCTAAAGAGAGCCGCTTGTTCACCAGCTGAATAGCTGGAAAATAATTACGTAACGCTGACCGACGATGTGATCAGCCTCGCTTGAACGACGACGTGTCATTGCGGTATTCATTTGCCTCATTTGTCCTTGGAAGTGAAGGGCGTGTGGGCTACCAGGAGAGTGGCCTAGCGGTTTCCCTGACCGAGGTTGAGATGAGAGATCATATACTCATGCCTGCTATGGCGTTGACTGACGTCACTATTGTATTCCTCGCGTATCGCAATTATGAGATACGGCGGCATCAGACGACTCGTCCCCGGTTTCCGGATGCAAGGCAGGTTGCGAACTCGCTAAACCTTGGTGAGCGACTGGGGAAGGTGCACTGTCTGCAGCGGCATGATTAATAATGTCGTGACAAGTTGTGATCCGTACGAGCCTGGGCACTTCAGAAATTGGAACTAGTGACTGATAGGCTGAGTAATCTAGGCAGGACGTTGGAAGGGTCAATAACGTACACATCCCAATTAATGGTAAGGTGGATGTTTTTGCGTTGTGACTGACCTACCAAAGATTTAATACGAATCTATTTCAGGTATGACAACATGACCATGGCTACGGTGAAAAAGGTATAAAAGGAGCGTCAACTGGCACACCTTCCCTCAGAGTCTGCCTTGATTCAATCTCTTACCCTTCAACGATCCAATAATGTCTAGTGACAAGAAAGTTATCGCTGTTCTCGGAAGCACCGGATTGCAGGGGGGCAGCGTAGTTAGTTCCCTCCTCGCGGAAGGAACCTTTGCTGTTCGAGCCCTCACCCGCAACGCAAACAGCGACGCGGCCGCGAATCTCAAAGCGGCTGGCGCCGAAGTCGTTTCCGCCGATCTCGAGGATGTCGAGTCGCTTAAAAAGGCTTTCAGAGGCGCATATGGCGTTTTTGGTGTTACGGTGAGCTGGAAACAGTTGTCATCGATCGATCGATGTTCCATTGATCGATGCATTCCATATCAGATTGTGAGCAGATGCACGAGCAATGTGGAATGTTGCTGACTGCCAATGGCTATAAGTTTGGACTGTGTACCTTGGTGTTGACAAGTTTGATCAGGCCAAATCCCGCGATCATGAGACTCAACACGGGAAGAATATCGTTGATGCTGCCGAAGCAGAAGGAATCAAGCACCTGATCTGGAGGTATGGAGTGAATCTGCTTGCGCATCCCATACGTCTAATTGGATGGTACTCAGCACGCTGGACGATACTTCGAACGCCAATCTGCACGTATTTCACTTCGCGGTACGTAACCGTAGCACCCGCTCTGATCAACCATCTAATGTTCATTAACAGAGCAAAGCTGCTGGTACGGTTCATATGTATCTTCATTCGAAATCCCGTCCATATAAACGCTGTCTGATGTGTAGTGGACAAATACATCCAGACGAAGAAAGTTCCTACGACACTACTGTTTACGAGTGTCTACTTCAACAACCTAACCAAGTTTGGGGTGCGTGTTTTCCACATTCGCATTGATTTCGCAGATGTTTTTGACTGTCGTTCTCGTCCAGTGGTTGAAGAAGGAAGGAGAAACCTCAAAGTTGACATCCCGATTCCTTCCGACGTACTCCTTCCTTCGTATGATGCCAGTGAGACTGGAGAATGGGTATTCGCCTCGCTGCTATGGCACATTATTTCATACGAATGATCACTTTTACAGGTGAAGAATATCCTCAAAAACCCAAATGAGTGGATCGGTACGTCGTCCGGAATGCACCCAACCTGAGAGCTGATTCTGAACCTTTCGACAATTATAGGCAAGAGGGCTGAGGCTTACGGAAGTTCGTACACACCAGTGGAACTCGTAGAAGCTCTTAAAAAGAAGACGGCGAAGAGTGTTGTTCTCAACAAAGTCACCCATGAGCAATTCCACAGCAAGGAGTACCGTGATGTAATTGGCGATGAGCTTTGGTTGAAGTAAGTGGAGACCTTTGTGTGAAATCTGCGATCCGCAAATTGACTATATATCAACTGCAGCAACAAGTACGTTATCGAGAAAGGGTAAGACTTCCAGAGTTTCAAGACGTGTGCCTCCTCTGAACTAGAGCTTATGCATTCTAGGTTGATTCGAGATGCGAAACTTTCGAAACGAGCTAACCCAAATGCTGCCAATCTCGAGCAATACATCGCGAAGGACGAGGCCCTTAAAGCGTTCCTTTAATTTTTCCTCATAACATGGTTATCTGTTAGTTTTCTGGAAAATTTAGTCTGGGTGGCTGCACGACTCGGAATGACTGCAATGTATTCACAAATGTAACATGTCAATAAACTTGAACGTACGTTTCTACGTGTGATTTGACATCCTAATGTGGATATTCCTTTAACTACACTCCTGGAAGTCTTACGAACGAGTAGCATAAGCATGTTGGTCGCATGAGATCAGTCGTGGAACCCCAACTGGTATTCACAGAAGCATGCTGCTTGCTTTGCAACTTCAACGTTCAATGCATATATGGGATCGATCACCCTTGTGGTTAGGGTTGAAGCGGGGTCTTGGTCCCCGATTTCCAATGGATACGCGATGAATCATATTTTAAGTGTATCCCCGGCTCCCATTCAATGACGCCTTCTTGCCTCGAAGCCGCAGCTTTTCTGACGCGTGTGGAAATCTCCTGAGGGTGCAGCTTAACCTCTCCGATGCAATCTATGACGCGCGCGCGCGCGCGTATACACGCAATACTTCCCTGAGTTTCGCGTCAGCCATCCAAGTAACTGTATACTAGAAGTACATGTGTACATCTATGCAGGGATTGCACCCTTGGTGATCTTCACGTTAAGGAAGTGCGACTTCGCAACTTGTAATTTAGCACCAGGTTTCGGGCGAGGCAACAGCCTTGCAGCCGTGCGCGTGGATGGCGTAGGTTTTCACGAGCTCAAACTCAGTAGGGCGCGTAAACAGTTCGGTTTTGGATATCTGCTGCAACTGATAACCGAATTGTAAACTGCCGTGAAGTTGCAACGGCTTGAAATCCAATAGAGGCTGGTATCTGCTATAAGAAATGTTATAGCGATTTGTCGCTCATCGTATGCGTGAACTAGAAATATAAAGTATCACTAGCGATGTGTCGCTGTGTAAAATAAAAAAAAACATAATGAAGAAAAACTTAGATCATCAGTCGCATGCGTGAACTGAGAAAAGTCGTAAGTCCAAAAATGGTTTTATAGTCAGGCGCTATCAATGCGCACTGACTTAGTAACACTGATCCAAAGGGAACAAAGTAAATCTTAGCGCGCAAGACTCAACATCAACAACGTGAGTTGGCTCAGCGTACGCTTGTATCCAAGAAATTTAACACTGCTATGAAATCCCGGCGTGGATCGGGATCGGCAATTTTTTCAGTGTATGTCAGTTCGGTTCCTGGTCCAAACCGAACCGTTGCAGCAGACGTAGGCAGTCTACTTTAGCAGAGGCGGGGATCCTGCCTACGGACGTGGCGAAATTTATATAATGAATGGACGAATGACAATTAAGCCGGTGGTAAGTCTGCATTTTTCCACAGCATCTCAGCGAGCTTTTCCAATGCAAGAGGTTCTGAAAGTCTCGTTGCTTGCATTTGTGGCACCCTCGGACCCGCCGAGTCACGCGCAAGTGCCAACGGCAGCCCCCGTGACCGATCAATTTACTTTCGCTGGCGCAAAACCATGTTGGGAAAGATAGGTTCCCGAGAAACCAGGCAGCCCTGCTTGCTGCACACGCCAGGGAGGTGCTGCCATTAAATTGTTAAACGTGCTAAAAACGCTGCACTCGGCGCCAAGATTTATGATTGACCTGCTGCGATGGCCATTGCGAGTTCTCTGCTTCGTGGCCAACCATGCCACGGTACGCATGGCCTGTATTTAGTTTATAGGGGCCATCGCCCATCTATTTTTCTTCTGGGATTCTCAACGTGGCAGAAAAGCCGTCCCCTTCATAGGGTAGCATCAGCATTTCTCCCAGCCTGCTCCTGCTAAACTTTGACAGCCAATGCCACTGCCCACTGCTTTAGCCTACTTAGAGCATGCTTCCGCGTCTGGTGCTTCCCCCGGTACTAACTCCAACCTCCCGATAGGTGGGTTTGAACAGAGATCACTACAAACAACGCGGCTCCCATTTGTGATACTCAGGAGTTTATCGTCCCGCATATTTTCCATCGTACGGGTTGACGATTCTCCCTTGGGAGTTCTGGGATAGGCCCTTTCATTTCACAAGAGTTTGTTCCAAGGGCAGAGGGTTGTCTGTACATTAACAATGAGGAAAACGGAAGCGTCCGCAAGATTAAACAGGACTCCAGCCTCTTTGACTTCGTAATACTGCATAATCTTGTTCTGTCGCAACCTTTGCTTCAGCCTGACCGGAGTTGGGCTGCATGATTAGCAGCTAATTAGACCTGGGAAATTTTTCACGATACCAGAGACTAGCGAAAGGGAGGGGGGCTTGTGGCTCGCAAGCTCGACAATCCTCCCGACCTTCCAACCTTCCAGTACTGTACAAGTTACATTCCTAATTAGATACTCTTTGTTAAGCAGCTTCCTAAAATTGAATTGTCTTGATGAGTGTGCTGTTGACACGTACCCGATTCACGAAGCAAATTCAATAATTTCTATAGATTTATTCTGATGGTCTCGAGCTTTGTACACAATGCTGAACAGGTATAGGCCTTGTGACCCTCCATTTCAGCCACCCAAACTAACCTACTTATGTTCGCCATGATACGGCTGGTCTAGGGAACTATGAAATGTTAATTCTCCACTTCGTCGTGGCCATTCACCTTTAACCCCAAATGGCACCCCCGAGAAGCACCGGTGCACAAAGAGGCAGTGTCACTAGAGCATTGCTTCGCGATGGTTCATCTGCCGTTCGGGCTATTACAAGAAACCCGAAGAACCCCGCCGCCCAGAAGCTGAAGGCCGCGGATAGCGCGAGCCGACGCCGACCATATTGAAAGTCTGAGCTGAGGAGCGCCTTCAAAAATGTTTACGGAGTCTTCAGTCCTACTGGTAAGAATTCTCTTTCCGTTTACTTCCATGGCTGACACATCATTGCCTTTTCACGTGGGACTGCAGGTTTCGGTTTCCCCTCCCCGTCCAAACTGCAGCTAGAAAGGGAGGTAATGGTTTGGGGCCTTTGTTTATGAGTGAGACCGACTACGTGCTTGTGAGGGCAAGGGAAGAATATCGCCGATGCCGCGGAGCTAGTCATCGTGTTTGGAGGTAGTATCCTATAGATTTGACTCTAGGCGAAAACCAATTGCTGGAATCCTCAAAGTCATTTGGGAATGTGGTGTATACCTTCGAAGTGCGCCATACATTACTCCAGCTGCATCTATCAGAAAGGAGTCTCATTCCATTATTGGGTAAAGCGCAAGGTATGTTTTGGTGCTGTCCTTCCCATTAAGTATCACAGCACCTGAAAGACAAAGGACTTCCAACCACGTATCTTTACACGAGTTATTATTTTCATTTACGTGGCGTACGAGCCCAACTTATTCGGAGTTCCGCCATTGTCCCGATGGTTTACATCTCATAATGGCACAGGAAAAATAATAGGCCCTTCGTCGTTGATATGGTAATTCCTTTGGGTATCTTGATTCCCCCCACCCCATTTTACGATTCTGAGGATACTGACATGGGTGTTCTTGCAAGCATTCAAAACCTATTTAGACCATCCAGAGATAGGGGAACAATGAACGTTATGGATTGGTGGGTAATTCCGTGGCAATTATTAGGCGCCCATTTTACACACTACCTTCTAACACAGGGAAAGAGATGCATGCGATCGTGAATTCATGTACCCCGAGGTTATTTCAAACCGTAAAGCACACTGGAAAGAATGTGTCGCACAAGCAAGAAATCGGCTTTCGGGTGCTCATTGTTGACAATTCATTTCTCAGTCGAAGTCTTGGATTCTTCAGGGATTTTACTTCGTCAATGCAGTCCCCATCACCATTCACCAATATATTCTGGTGTACGTCCATTCTCTAGTAAGCCTGAATGAATAAGCCCTATATCTCAGTGGAATCTCACACGTGCGCCGGATGGGCGCTGTGGCGTCAATTCCAACTAACAAGGTGATTGTGCATGATTCCTCTCGCTGATCTTCGCCACGCTCATTTAATTTTGTCCGCTTTACAATTAACATACCATATTCATACGTACGCCTGACTGGACGCGCGGAAATGGGGTCTTCTACCAGGTGGCTGTTATCAATTTCTCACACTTGATTGCGCATGAGAACCGAGGAAGAACTTTGCCAAATTCTTGCCTAGCCTGATCAAGACATGCGCATTAGTTCTAACTGAATTCTGCTACCTGCCCAATCAGTATAACTTTGCCTCTTGATCGTCACCCCATGATATACGAGCAACTATCTGATATGCATTGTGAGCACGTTTTCAAATGTAATAGGCGTTGTTTTAGAGACCCTCACGTTTCTGGTGAAGTGTGTCACGGTTACGGGTTCCAGGAAGATGGAGGTTGGTAAACATTAACCCGTATTCTTCGATCGCAACATTGAGAATCCAACTGAGGGTCAACCGACAAATCTGGCCTTGCCTACATGCGGTAAGGCTGGCGGGCAGCAGGTAGGGTATAACCAGACGATCATTATAACGCTGAGGGCAGAATACAGGTCCAACTGTTGATGCAAGGATTTGCCCAAAGAGAGTTTCGATGTCGAATCAATTATCGGGGACTTATTAAGACACCATAATTCATGATACTCCATGGGGTTGAGGGTGTGTTAGATGGCTGATGGTAGTGTTTAATCGGGGAAGAGTGTCGGTGCGGGCAAGAACCAATTTCCAACCACCCGCCTTTGCGTATTGTCATCCTCAACCGAGACCACGAAAGGACACGAGCAACAGCGAAGGCTTTTCTGCCCCTGGACCCATGACAGTAACACTTCACGACGTGGCAAGGCTTTTAACGGTGAAATGTCATTACAACCATGTTCGACATGGAACAGAGGTGCGTATCTTGTCCTCTCCCATCCTCTAATGACACCATCAATCACTCAACAAATACTTTCCCCACGCCCTCAATACCTACACCACGATTCAATTATTGTGCATTCGATCATAGGATTCGCAAGTGCACGTACCGAGCTGCACATGGCCTTGACATGTTGCACGTTCTCAAAGAGCCTGACTTGTTGTGAGGGTTCGGGTCGGGAGCCTGGGTCCAGACCCCCTGGGCGTGTAGTTCTCTGGCAGCCATTACGCAGGCTTCCGAGCGGAACTGCACGCTCATACGACTATGGATGCGAGCCTACTGTATGTTACGAAATGCCAATGAAACGCATAAATGGTGCACACCTGGATGGTGGGTTTTGGTTCTGAGCGTGGCAGAACGGGATGATGATATTCAGCATCATCATTATTGGCTAGTGACTGCGGACCATAGGACGACATGGCTTCGTAAATCTTATCCAGTGTTGGAGACCGAAGAGATTGTGGGTGCTTCAGCCACGTAAACCAAAGGCATTCCGACCATTCGAGGGGAGATGCAATGAAGAAGCGTTCAGGACACCACACAGAGGCATTTCGTGGAATATACAGCAGCGAGTTGTAAGAGAAGAATCCATCCGAGCCTTCGCCCCGAGTACCCAGATTATGACTGGACTTCACTGGGCGGCGAAGAGTAGGTTCGATAATTATAGGATATGCGAGTTCCGCGGCAATTTCTGAAAGCGTCTCATAGAGATGCGGAGGTGCAGGAGAAGAAATCCCGTCCGGGAAGAATACAACGGCTGATGTTGCCGCAAAGAAACGAGCCATATTGAGATGTGCATTGTGAGTTTGATTTAGAGGAACAGAGGGAGATGACAGGAGCTGGACATGGACACGATGGCGCGATGGAGAACGAAGACGGTTTCTCTTCATCTTCCGCACTCGTTTAGCTAATTTTCTGTACCCCGATGACGAAGGTTGCTTTTGAGTGATAAGAACAAACGAGACAGGACCTGGATTCTGGTGAATGAATCGAACAAGAGTAACCAAGCTTTTAACCTTTCCAAAGTCTAAGCCATTCATCAAGGTGGCCGTAATCCTCTTCAGTTCCCCACATACAGGCAGCTATGCCAGACACTGAAGTCATCATGGACTCGTCATGGACACCATGCAGTTTGATATTTTCCCCAGACCCAATGAATGCCCAAGGGAATAGCTTAGATAGGTACAGTGGAGTCATCCCTAGTGGTGAAGGTGACTCTGAGGCACATTTTGGATTGCTGAAGAATCGGCTCACAATGACTCAAGCCGTAATCATGATCTTGACTTGAAAGACCAAGGAACAAGATGGCGAACAGGAGCAAGGTACAAAACGCGTAAATACGGAAGGCCGAGTCCCAGGTCCAAGCGATGCGCGCCCCTGGGGGATAGTGCTTGGCAGGATTCTGATGTTTCTGAGATGTAACCAATTGGCCAGACTGTCCCCGCCCAGGGCGGCGAGGCTGCAATGTTGACCAAGGTCTTTCACCCGGTAAACTCATTACACACACGAGGTAGAATCGATGCTCTATGACATCAGGACGCGGTACGTTCCGGAGTGATGGCAGGGTCCAGGACTCCACCTTGTTCAACCAATTTAAAATTCGCTGCCTCGGTCTTCATTCTCCTTCCCCTCTCCGACGTGGATCCTCGACTTTGCGATGTCTAACTCTACGTGTCCTTCCACAAATACTGCAAAGGTGGATCAAAGCTCCTTCTGGAGCTCTAGAAATATCAATTG